CTCATACCCAGTCGGTAATCTCCCAGCTTTCCACATCGTCGCGGATGATAAGCCTATGCCGGTCAATCTTCCAATGGGAATACAAGTCCCGAGCTGCCATGGCTGCCCGTCGATGCGCGGGTCCGATGCCTCCCTTCTTTGCGTCCTCTTGCGATCTCCACACGCACGTTGCCAGATTCTTACCCTCCTTATCAGGGCTTCCAAACCAGTATCTAAGCCTTGTCAGTGCATTGCTGTGCATCGGCGGTGCAGACAGAGTCGCCTACTTGAGGAATCCGCCACTGGCCGTCGCTTCTGCGTGCGCTGCCTTGTCCAAGACGCCCAGGTCCTCGTACACCGTCGTCGGTGGGATTTGGGACCGGAAAGCGACGACGAAAAAAGAGCTGTCCTTCCAAGTGTGTTCCTTTTGTTGCGCTAGCCGTTTTACTTGCTCCATGACCTCTCCCCAGTTGAAGATGTCGATATATGGGGCAGTGGCATAATCGGGCCGGAGGCACTTCAAGTGAACTAGCGCCTGCGCAAGGATTGCATTCTCCGAGTCAAGACTCCTCAGGTTGAGTAAGTGTTCCCTGTCGGTGTAAGGTGAAATGGTCAACAAATCCGTGGTCTCATCTCGGAAGCTCTCTGGAGTCACGGCCTTCTGTGTTAAAGTTGTGGCTAGTGTCTTTCTAATAGAAGCGGTGCGCACAGATCCTACGCTCTGTGGAAGTTCGTGCTGGATAGCCATAGTCTCGACTAAATCCGCAGAGACCCTTGCAGCTTGTTGAATGATACAGAGTTCGACAAAGTGCGAGAGTGGTTGCTAGTTATGATGCTGCTAGGCGGAGGGGCTTGAGTTCGCGGTAGTTTATATGCTTTGCCAGGCCGGGCGGGCTTAGTCCTGATATATACGCCTGTGGGTTCAGATAGTCTGAAGAAGAGATGGCGTAAGTCCAAGCGACTCTCAAGGACAACTTATACCAAACGACCCCCCGGCCACCGTTGATCTTTCTTACTATCTCCGGGCGATTACGACGTGAAAGTCCGCATTGATAATGCCGTGTACCAGCAACCAGCAGCGCCGGTACCGCTTGGACCTTATGACATCTTCCCTCTAGATAAATGTTGCACTATCGCGCCATCCCGCCGATTATTGATACCATCAATTGCCTCTCATCATTATTAGTATGGGACAGTTGAGCGGGATGGCAATCACTAGATCAGGTCGCACCAGTATTTCCCAGACGCTAATGTTTGTGTGATTAGATACTATCTCATGTCGCGCAAACCTTGCGTAGGACGACGAGTCTAGCTTCCCTAGCTAGTAACAACCAAAATCTTGCTGCATAACTAGGTAAGAAGGTAGATAGGTAGGTAGGTAGGTGGTTCAACGTCAACGTAGCTTTAGACCCGCCAATCCACCCCTGGACATGACATTAGGTCAATCCTGACAAAAGTTCCCGGCTTACGGTACTGACTCCGACAATTCAATACTGAAGAGTGCGAGACTCTACGTATCTCGCCCGTGCTTAGTCAGTAGCCTGACTTCACCAGTTATCACATTAATGCTCACCGCCAATTACGAGCGCCACAAGGAGCTCCAGAGAGACTCTGGAGAAACCCAGGGTCCAAGGACACTAAGATCTCAGACCTTGCCTACTATGGCAAGCGACAGGTCGTCCAATGAGCTGGTTCGTGGATATTCGTTGCCCACTTGGTGTACAGAATACTTCCCTCATCTGTCGCATCAATTGCGCGGTGCTCTTTGAATTGATTTTTACCATCAGCGTACAGCATGCATATTATTCTCTAGAGAGGCCGCAGTTCGTCATTGAGTTGCTGCGTCCGAAACCGGTCTATACGTTGCAGTCTCCATGCTGCCGGAAGAAAGAACCCTGGAGGTATCCGCACGCAGTGTCCTCCTCCATGAAGCCAAGGCTGTCAGCCAATGGCAGGGTCGTACTTGTTTGATTGCGTAATGCGTACGAGAGAACCTTAAGAGATGTTGGCGTCTTGGCAAAGGCTATTATATATAGCTTCCGTGGCTTGACGCCAACATCCATTGTTGCACTTTGAGGGTCTGGCAAGAGGACTTGAGGTAAGGGAAAACCTTGGTGACATGTTTGAGCACTACGGTGTATTTATGATTGGAGGAACGAGTTGAGGTTCAACAAGCGCTTATCTATACGTCGTTCTAGAGTATGAGCAAGTTTTATAATGTCATCTCCTATAATTCATGGAGAGCATTGGTGACTGAGAACCTGAAAAGTTGTTTGATATTCTTCAGAAATTGGATTGACACGCATATGATTAGACGAAAGAACAATTCCCTATAATTATAGCATATATAAGGCATAAAGAGACACAGCATCGAATAATAGCATTGTCTAGGCATTTATGTTCGTCTATCCCACATTGTACCTCGTGGAGTGAGAGACTAAGTTAGTACTGATAAGATGCCACATGATACATATATTGCTTCAAACTTGATAGCCTTTACAAGTTGCTTTAATATGTTTTACCAGATCAGTAGTTATAGTGAGTCTTAAGTCGCCTTAACTTAGAATGATATATCTTTGCAATGCAACAGGAGATGACGAGCAGGACATGATGCATGTCGTCCAAAATTAGAACATAGTACGCAAAATGATGAGGAATGCTTCTTATCTAATTATTCAATATAATCTCGAGTTGATTCTGGAAAAGGTAACACATGGTTTAGACACCAATCCAATAGTGACGCTACTGTGTCATGAGGAGTATTGCTACTTACACCACTGATCCTACTTAAATAATACGTAGAGGATATACATTATCCCATCCTGGATCTGGCGTCACTATAGGGCTTGCACTTCACGTATTCGGTAGAAGTCGTGATAGCGTTGCACGCTGTGCATGGCGATTCATTGGCTTGAAGTGCCATGTCAGTTTATAAACATCGATACTCCAGCCCGCGCATACATTTTGTTCGTTCTCTACTTCTCTATCTCTATTCTAGATGATAAGATGTTCTAGCTTAGCAAGAAACGGTATCCCTTAATACTAGATCGACTGATTACTCATTTTTCACTAGCGATAGCTGGAGGCGTTGTCTCTATAATCCACTCATCTTCATTGGCACTCGCCCACCGCATAGATTCAAGGCTGACTTCGCTCCACCTCTTCTGCGAAGGGAGTTGAGGGAAACCGAGGAACACATGGGGGAGCCCAGGGAATATATGGACTTTAGTCCGGACTCTAGAAATGCATAGTTGGTTAGCACAGAAAGATTTCCTCTAAGGTTAGTCTTCTCGAACTTAGAGTGGGAAACGAAACTCACCCAGCACGCTTCAATTTTTGCGCATAAGCAAGGCCGTCATCACGAAGGGGATCCCAACCAGCGACCACGATGGCAGTTTGCGGCGTTCCTACCAAGTCCTCCTCGCTAGCCAAGCCCGGGTTCCAAGTCGGATTTCCCGGCTCGACATCCGTGCCCAGCAGCGACGTGAACATGTCCATCCGGGCTTGGGACAACCCGTGCGCATCGGCACCTTGAACCGGACTCGCCTTGGCCTTGTCCGCGAACCAATGCCACGGGTACACGCCCGAGTGAATCAAGGTCGGCGTGTGCAGAATCTGGCCCTTGATCCGGACCGGCGTCTTCGTCTCCCGCGCCCGTTTGACTTCGGCCTGTACAACGGTCGCTGTCAAAGAACTACCTGCCGAGATTCCACCCACGAGGACCCGTGTTGGATCGACGCGGAGCGTTTCCACGTTCGCTATGACCCAGTCGAAGCCGTCGAGGGCATCGTGCCACGCCGTTAAACCCGTGTACTGCGGCGTGCATCGGTAGGCGATGTGCAGAACAGTCATGGAAAGAGAGTGAGAGAGCCATGAGCATAGATAAGCATCCGTGGCTAGGTTCCCCAGCATCCAGCCGCCTCCATGATAATGCACGTATAGCGGCAGGGTCTGCGATTTCAGGGCAATAGGTTGGTAAGCGCGGACCGTAATGGACTGTCCATCGCGCATAGGTACGACGTAGTCTTGCGTTCCGATAGCATATTTGATACCCGAACTCTCCAGGAGCGCCTCAGCGCCCTTGGCTCGTAGGTTGTTTAACAGCGTCTGCTGCTCCAATGCTGATATCCCCGCGGGTGGTCCCGATATGAGAGCAGGGTTCGCTTTGGCGAAGGCGAGCCACTCTTCACTCGGCTGTCCCCACTGACTGTTGTCCATGACTACCTGAGTCCAACGGATCCTTGGTGAATCAGTATTACTTCAGCTATGTAAAAGACTGGGAGAGTCAACGTCTTATATTTTGAAGCGGATAAACTGCACTCAGGCTGTATGAACCATCAACAATGGGGAGAAGTCTAGAGCGGAGTCAGGACTCGACCTGAGGGTTTAAAGGTTCATCTCTCCCTCGCTATGTAATCTATAAACTCTAGTGTCTACCGTATTTCCCATCATTGCTGCGTAGTTTTGGGGTCTTTTCAGGTAGGTGATTGAAAAACTATGGTCAAGGTCCTGGAGCGGTTCCCAACTTTCCGGCAACTAGTGGCTCGGGCATCAATGTACCGAGGTAGTCTACCTGGTCGAGTAAGGGAGCTGTCATGTCACCTCTCTCTCGGGGAACAATCCCCCACTACTAATGGACTTAGATAGGACATGTCAGTTGAGGATGTTATTTTTAGCTCAATAGAGCTAGTTTTGCTCGCTTTCTAAAAACATAATAAATTAACATGAACTCATTCACCGTTCAATATAGTGCAGTTCTATCTACGTTACCGGAACCGTCAATAATATGGTTCATCGATACGGGGGTTCGGAATTTTATATCGTCGACCTATATTATACTACTTTGAGTCTAATGAAATCAACTCGGCAGCCAGCAACGCCGAGACAGATAATAGTGACAGCTACGGAACGCGGCCACGAGTCATGCAATAGTTAGACTAGTAGGTATTCAGGGCCGAAAATTTTTTCTCTCTACCCCTTTCCTTCTTAATGCTGTACAAATCCCGCTCACCTCATTAGCGGGTTTCGTGGCCCAATGGCAAGGCGTCTGACTACGAGAGAGAGCTCAGCAATGAAGTCCTTCAATCGCAATCAGGAGATTCTGGGTTCGACCCCCAGCGAGATCAGTTGAGGTTAATCAACCAGTCTTTAGTTGACGTCAATCTTTTGCTCTCCCCCCCTGGCTTGTTTCGTGTTTCTTGCCATGTAGGTTAGAGCCAGCCCTGGCCCACTAAAATATCAATCTATCATTGTAAGAACAGGTTGTTAAGTTATCACGTTACACGCCAATTGATTTACTGTTATGGACAGGTGCAATTGCTTTTTATAGGATTACATTCTTTAAGTTTGTTCTCCGCAGGAACAGAAAGAGACGAATGTGAAAGCTCGTAACAAGCCGAGGCAAATGATTTTCGCTCCATTAGACTTTAATGCCATGATCTATGCCGCACTGCTACTGCAAATTACTATAATAAATTTCAGTTAGAGTAGGTACCCTTCCCGGGTAATGTAGGGCTTCATCTGATATCATTTCCTCTATTATTTGTCCTAAACTATCCTTACTTTGCTGTCTTTCGCGTGGTCATTCCTAAACTCATACATAACCTTGTTCAACGTGCGTTTTAGCTGTGACTACTCATTGTTAAGTGTAATGTCGACTATTTATGAGTAACCATGACCAGAAATAAGAACTTGATTTATGCAACAAGTACCCACCCCCTTGTTTAAATTGTATAGCGTTTCAACCCCATAATATTATGAAGGCAGGCAGAGGCCTCCCTTTGTGTCCACGTCAGTCAGGAGGTTTTGTTAGGTTTTAAAGCTAAACAAGCGCTTGATTGCTCTTAACAATCAAATAAACGTCTAAGTCAGTATTAACCAACAGTTTATTGGTAAATCAACTATTAATTAACAGGTGATTATAAACTGTTGTTTCCTAATTTAAGAATGGCTAAATGCTTAAAAGGAACAAGCAGTAGTTAATTAAACGTAGTTAAGGCTAGTACGGTCTTTATGCTTATAGTTGCTGAGCTATTCCACAGTTAGACTTACTGGCCATGGTTTCGTGTGTTTCTGCATTAGGCAAGTCTTGACCTAGGTTTGGGCTTAGCTCAGGTCTCTCTGGACCACATCGCTTAGTTCCTTGTGCCTCTATTACTTAGTATTTAATTATATTAATTACGTAGAGAAATTACTGCCTAATTAAACAAGCACAGATTAAGATGTTATTTTAATATTTTCAATCTTTTTAAACATGAATTTTCTCGAGCACCTGAGTCTAAGGTTTCGTCGCTAAAAGCAACACATTTAATAGTGAGGGTTTGCATGAGAAAAGAGCGAGCGATGATTTCCGACAGAGAAAAAAGTTAAAAAAAAAATTTGTATCCTTAGCCAATGATTTCATACATTTCCAGTATACCTTCTCTAAAAATTCGAGTGTCTGCCCGTGAACTCGGGAGTTAGAGCGAAGTGGATAAAGGAAAGCAGCTGTCTACCTAATGCCATCGCCCCTTGCAACCTGATCGTCCGAGAAGCCCTCCTGGAGAGTCTTCAAATATGTATCAAACTTACTAGACACGCTTATGACATGTTTCAGGTGATGATATGACATCCGTTCGCCTTTAAACTTGGCGAGCTGACGTGCCGTCGTGATAACATTCCTGATCTGGCGCCCATTCATCTCAAACTCGGCCAAATCGCTGAGGTAGCATTCTACATCTTCGAAGTCAATACCTGTTGGGTCGACTGGTTTTCGATGTCGCAAACCCGAATTCGTCCTCGGTAGGGCACCAGCACCGTCATCATCCAGGTCCTTGAGCCGGTTAAGAAAGTTCCTCCAGATTTTGCTGCGCTGACCCCGTGTTAGGTTCTCATAGTGCAGGGAGAGTTGAATTCGAGATTTGAAGGCTTCATCGAAAGTGCCAACTCGGTTTGAGGTAAGGATTAAGATGCCTTCGTAATATTCTAAAACCCGGAGGAAGACCGAAACGAGGGCGTTCCGCTCGAGATCTGTAAGAGTCCGCTGCTCAAGGAATACGTCGGCTTCGTCAAGCAAAACGACACAGCCCCAGCTCTTTCCGAGATGAAGGACGGATTCAAGATACTTTTCAACTGCTTCGGGCTTTGTACCTATGTCGCCGCAAGTTACACGAAAAAGCGGCTTCTCGGCCATTTCAGCAACGCTTTCCGCCGTGAATGTTTTCCCAGTCCCTGGCCCACCATGTAGGAGGATGATAAGCCCGTTGCCTTTTCCATCGATAATATCCGTGCTCTGTTCGCGCTCGATTTGATTAGTGACGAGAGCTTGGACGAGGTCTTTGGTCTCGAGGTCAACAACAAGATGTTCGAATGATTTCTTGTTCCAGGTGACGTCTTGGATCAAGTCAACCTCGAGGTCAACTAGACGACGTTAGAAGCTTCGTCTTGAGTTTCATAGCTCTCAGAGCAGACGATATGCTAACTCACCCCATTTCTTACTTCGCAAGTTGTATGCCACTATAGTTTTTGGAAAAACGTAGATTTCGGGTGCCGATGGTGGCTCATCCGATGCCATCGCCGTTGGGTTAATACGTTCGCAGTTCGGGTCATCTAGGCTGGGGTATGACCGTTTGAAACTGTGAGAGTCCGAGTGGAGCTGTTCGTAAGTATGGAAATCTATCATGAAGCGCTCACCAGTCTAGCTTACCGTTAGTATAAAGTGATCATCGTATCAAAATTGAAAGACTGATAAGCGATGTTACTTACTCCGTACATGCATCTATCGTCCTTATACGATACAAGGCGTCGGAATCTACAGCTCCAGAAAGTCTTTCCCCGCGTCTCGAGCGCAGTTTTAATCTCTTTGCTGGCGTATCTTAGAGGATACGTGCTCAGTTTCGTGATAGCGATCTCTTCCTCGAATACTTCCGATTGCATAAGTATTTCCATAGTACATTTGTTGCGAAAGAATGACCCGTCATAGTCATATTGCCAAGAGTTGACTTCCCATTTCCACGTTGGAGCGTTATCCGTAATGTTGGAGCTCTTCCTCCAATCTGTTTTTTTATCAACCGACCTTAGGGGAGGGGGGTTTTTGGCGGTGGGCCAAGATTGAGCGATGACGGCCATTGTGTCTCGCTTCTCCTTCCATAGCAAAACGTCCCCTGGCTGGATCAAGAAGTTCATCGTCTCGGCTGATATGACACCTCTTTTTAGTTGATCTTCTACTTTCGAATACAGACTGCCGTAGTTCTCCTCGATCCAAGATGTGAGAAACTTCATCATTCCTTGGTGTGTAGGGCTAAGGCTATTAAAAGTTCCTAATGATCGATAGTGGTACCAAAATAAATATGGTGCCTCTATGCTGCCTCTGATATTAAAGCCGGGGAATTCTTCGAGGAATTTTGGCTGTTGAGCGAAGAATTCCTCTGCGGCCTCAATCATACTGTGGGACTGGAGCCGAATCGTCTCAGCAGATGGTTGAGGGCGAGGAAGAGCCTTCTTGTCACGAAAAGCTTTCTGGGCCAATTCCCCTTGTTGCCCCCAATCGTAGAACTTCAGAATGGCAAACGCGACATCATCTAGAAAAGTTAGAAGTCAGAAATTGCTGTTCAGAGTAAATATATTGGCGGTTTGGGGCTACGTAGAAAAACGGTAGTAGAAACACCCTGGTTAGACAATTCGTGCATTTGAGGTCCAACAAAAGGGGAAATAAAAGACTCCAGAAATTACTTACGTTTCTGGCTCATATATCCAGAAATGTCATGTATGGGGAAATGGGCTTTTAAGACTGCTTCACCCCTTGGTCCAATTGCCCACATTGGTTCATCGAGATACGTGGCATAATTTCTTTTTGGATCGACCTGGATAAAATACAACGTCTCCGACCTCGCAACTTCTTCCTGGGCTTTCTTGAATCCACTGTTCTCAGCCTCCAAGGAGGCAATCCGGTCTATGAGATGGTTCATGTTTTCATTGTTACTTGAAACGTCCGGTATTGCGTTACCGACCGGGTTCGAATGTCTTGGGAGGTTGCTAGATGTTTGTGTTTCTAAATGGGTCACGTTATTGCATAAATCCATTTCGATATGTGGGTAAATTGAAGGCGTAGAAGAATTCAAGGGATGTTCCGAATTTGTATGTGTCTGACAGGACCCTCTCTGTCGTATCAACCTCAATCTTAGACGTTGCTGTTCTAGGAAATTTTGATGGAGTTGTAGATTTTGAAGTTGGCCGACTCGAAATGATTCTGTCTCTGGCTGTTGAAGCACTCCAATTGGATCCTGGCCTTGATGCTTGTGAGCGATCAGGCGATGACTTAATGGGGTGAATGAGATGAAGTGATCTACGGAAGACTCGTCGTGTCGATGCTCGCTCTCGTTAACGGTGTGATGAAATTTCGAAGATCTCAGGATTGATAAAAGTTCCTTGGCGAAATCACTTGCCGCGGTTTGATCTTGTGAAATGGTCAAATGGTTCCAAACACGATGCTTCTTCGCTCTGACTTCTTCACTGGTTTCAAGGTTGTTGTCGTGGTCGCCTTGTCCACCTCCTTGGTGTAAGAATTGATCAGGCTCTGCACTAGCCACCTCTGCCGGACGCTCGTCTAAAGGTGCACCGTCTTGTCCCTTGTCCACTTCTATGCCCACTAGCTGCAACTTTTCCGTGTCGTCGGCATTCACGCTTGCCCCTGATGAGCTTATTGGTCTGCGTTCTAAATAGCTAGATACGCGCTCTTCGATTATGTTTGTTGTACGCTGTTTATGCGATTCAACGAACTCCAACAGCCACTGCCGAAGATCGTATTTGCGTCGATTCTCTATCAGAGAGATGGAGTCAAAAATTTCTTCCCGTATTTTTGAGTAGAAGTCTTCAGCCTCTTCATACAGAATCTCCGCCAATCGGAGGTTAGAATTCAGAAAGCGTTCTTGCAATTTATGAGTAGTATTGAGACGAAAGCGCTCTGTGCTGCCCCGGACTATATGTGTCAGGCGAGCGCCCTGTTTACCATAGACGGTAGCCTCCCAGTCGTCCTCATCTGTATCAGAACCCAAGTCGGAGCTAGGCTCTGAGTCAGAATCGGCACCGAACAATTGTCCTACAATGTCTACGGTGCTTTCTTCGTCCGACCACTCCAATAAATCCGGTA